AGTTGTTCCATGAGGGATATGCGCGTCTTATTGTGTTCGCTTCCAGCCGGCGGATATCGAAAAGTTCCAGAGACTGCAAAGAGAACAAATGACCATTTTGCATATTAGTTTTACCAATTGAGGATTTGCTTGCTGCTAGTCATAATCATCATTATCAACAGCAATACATCAGCCATTTGAACTGATGCTTCGCTGCCGTGCAAGTATGATGACCTACGGAAGGAAGGAAAAGGGGAGAGAAGGGTGCTTAGCGTAAAACCGTACTGCTCTAAAGAAATACTCAGGGCAAAGGCGCCTAGACCTTATCAACAACATATCATAACAAACAGCTGGCGATAATGCCAAGAAAAGGCAACATCGGCGAGACAGCTCCCTTACGGTTTTCACTGTCCTGCGTCATAATCCGCTACTACACAGCAGATAACAGTATCAAACACATATTAAACAGGAGATGACAGCAGACAAGTCTCTGGTGCAGACTGCGAGCCATGTCCTGTAACGTCTCAAGCCAAGCGCACAGGGTGGGTCATGTGGACTCCAGCCTGGAAGGCAAGGCGGACCATCGTCATCATCATTATACACGTCAGCTAGAGGTGGGAAACATCTCAGCTATTGTGCCGCAATACATAGCAAGGCGGATCGCGGCATCCAGTTTGGTCGTCAGTGACATCCTATCTTGTTTCCAACCTAGGACCATGCACCACCATACATATAGCAAAGAAAACAACGCACACAGTAAAGGGTGATCAGGCATACGTAGCACGTGCCCGAGCCAACGCAACTTATTCAGTGCTATCTGTTGTTCTAGGGAGCTAGCATGATTATCACCACCTAGTACTCACCTACGCACATCATCGTTGCGGACACGTTGGTGCCATCCGACATCAGCAATCCTTCGCAGACAACGATGATCAAAAACTTGAATGCGCCACAGATCTTCAGACCGAAGGGGCCAAGTCTCAATATCATAGAGCAGAACGGCCCTCACTGTGGCCTTGTATACACGGCTTTTCAGACGGAGGGAAATTCCCTTCTGTCGTTAAACATGCCACAATTACAAGAAGGCACCTCTGGCCTTTGCAATGCGTGAGCTGACGCCAGTTTCTATGCGCTCATCGTTGCTGATGCAGCTGCCAAGATAAGTGAATTGATCAACCATCTCGAGTTCCTCGTTAGCAAGCGTCAAGGAGTCATCAAGCGGCTGGTGGTCCTGCAGCAACACTTTGAAGGTGCGAAGTGCATACCAACTAATAGGACCACTCTGGACAGGCTATTCAGGGTTGATTGTACCGCGGCAACATCGTCGAAAAGCAAGACGATATCGTCCGCATAATCTACATCAACTAAGCTTTCACCAGGCAGCACTTCAACGCCAACATCAGGAGATACCAAAAGGAAAAACGCCATGATGGAATCCACGACGAAATTGAACAAAAATGGGGCAATCGGACAACCCTGACGAACGCCACTTGTAGTCGGAAGGCTATCCGATAGGTAACCGTAGACCCTGACGCGGCCTGTAGTGTGAGTATAGAGCACGAAGGATGTTCACATATTTCGTGGGAACACCTTTCCGCGCAAGTACTTCGAACAGAATCGATCGATCGACTGAATCGAACGCACTCTTGAAATGGAGGAACACAGCTATTGTCGGTCTGCGGCATGTGTGGCGCTGCTCTAGCACCTGCCGCAAAGTGATTATATGGTCTATACAGCCACGTCCTGGGCGGAAACCGGTCTCCTCTTCCCTAATCCGAGATTCCCGCTCCGCAGTGAGGCGACGAACGATAATCGAGGCCAATAATTCTATCACAACTGGCGTTAGGCTAATACCCCTGTGGTTAGAACAGTCTGTGCGACTGTTCTTCTTGTATATTGCCCCTATAATCGATTCGCTCCAATTAGCCGGGACACTTCCTTCCAGATACGTTTGAATAGGGAGGTCAATGCAGAGGACCTCACCTCCGTCCCTAAATAGTGCATGTGGGAGGAAATCCGCGCCAGCGGCACGATCGCGTTTCGGACCTCGGCCTCTGACGGAGGCTCTAAACTAACCGTCCATGGCTCGTCCTGCATCACCTGAGTAGGAAGAGGTCAGAGAGCAAGGGGCCAGCTGAACTGATCTTGAAAGTGTTCCGCCCAACAAGCCATACGGCGCTCCTTATTGTGTATCAGCGCACCCGTGCTGTCTCTGATTGTCTCACTGACGCCTGGTTTTATGGGACCAGTGGTGCGGATTAGCTGGAAGAGCTTGAAATAATTGCCTACTGCTCCTGCCTCCACCATTTATTGAGCTCGACTGGTCCACCAGGCTTCCTTGTCAGCACGTAAACTCCGCTTTAGTTCGTGCCTAATAGTCCGTCTCGTCACATTGTGTTAAAAGCCAACCGGGAGTTTTCTCTTAGATTCCAACAGGTTCACCGACCTCTCGGATATCCAGTGACGGGTGCGGCGGCGATGGATAGTGCCCCAAGCAGATGCTCCTGCGTCGTGCATGGCGGCCGAGATCCTATTCCACTGAAGCTCAGTGTCACTAGGACAAGACAGCGAAAGCTCGGTACGCAGTGCGTCTTGATAGACTTGCCTGACCGAGGGCTGAGACAATTTCTCTGTTGCCAATCGAAGGGGACGCTTGGTGTGTTTCCCGGTAAAGTACATGGAGAAACGACATCGTACGAGAGCATGATCAGAGTCGACGCAGGTACTCCACTACGAGCGGCAATCCAGGATGGAACCACGCCATCTGTAACTTATGGCTATGTGGTCAATTTGGGTCCATCGCTGGCCAGCTGCAGGAGGATGTCAAGTGGCACTTTGGCGCCCACTGTCTAAAAGCAGTGCTACTAAGAAACAACTGGTGCTCCGCACACAGTTGCAGCAGACGCTCGGAAAGAAGCCCACAATTACCACGCAGCTGAGCTTCTGAAGAGCTCAGACGCCCTACTTTTGCGTTCATATCCCCTGCAAGTACTATAATATCTGAGCTAGTAGCACTGCGTAGTAGCGCGTTCAGTTCGTGATAGAATGTGTCCTTGACAGCATTAGAACTGCAGTCGGTGGGAGCATAAACGGAAATCACAAACAAACAGCGTTTTGTATTGCTTCGTGAATTCATCTTAGCTGATGTCGTCAAACGGGCTACACATAAACGGCTGTTCACCGGAATCCAATCAACCAACGTCGGATCAGGCTTGGAGCTTAGAATGATACCTACACCAGCTTGACCCGTGAATGCTGCATCGGCGTCTCCGGATGCGTGCAACCAATAACGATAGGATAAGCCGGGTGTAGTTAAATCATCAACCCTGTTAGGGTCATTTATCCTAGTTGCAGACACACAACACACATCAATACCCAGTGTGTCCCAGATGCGTGCAAGTGCAGCCTGTTGACCTGTTTGTCTTAGAGTGCGAACGTTGAATGTCGCCATGGAAATGGGATAGCGCGGCCTAATAAGGGACTTTTACCGATAGGCTTCCCCTAGTTGTTGTGGGATGGGGGCTGCAGATGGTTCTACTCCAGTGGCACTTCGGTTGTTGTCAATTAAGCTGGGAATTATAGAAGGAAGGTTACTAATGGGGGTCGGGATGGGAGTAAGAGAAAAAGGTGGAAAAGAATGGAGGCGCCAGCAGTAGCATGTTTTCGCTTATCCGTCCTGCTGTATGCAGCAGATAAGGCGACCCTTGATAATCTGCGCGACGGCCGATGCAGGATGAAGTTTATGTTTGAAGAAAATGTCATGGTTGTATGTGGGCTGAGATACTGCCAGGGCGCCCAGACCTAGACAGGAGGACGATTAGGGTCCTCATCCAAAGCCTTTGGCTCAAAGCCTGTCCGCAAGGCAGCGGGGTGGCAATGATTTAGTTTTACACAAATGGATGCCATCCCATTTCAAACCCCCAACGTGGAGGACCAGGAGACTGAGTTTGTCTGACCTTTCACCATTGACCAACCTGGTAGGAGTAGCTCTGAAGGTGCCAGGAGGCATCACCTAGTATGGCTCAATGGGACAAGAAGGTGCGCAAACCGTAGCACCAGGTTAAAGTCAAGTCTCGTTGACACGGCACCGTCTGGTGATCGGAAACTATACGTCTTAAAGGCTAAGTGGGGAGTTAACTTACAAAGCAACGCCACGTCCGCGTCGATCAAAGGTGCAGTCACATCTCAGCAGTACGTAGTCTGGCAAACAGACTTCACTGTCCGTGACATCGGTGGACAAGCAGGTTTCAATGAACGCGAAAACATCTGGACAGCAGTCGTCGACAAGGACACCGACTTCGCACAGCTTGTTTCGCAGGCTAGGCACATTGCTTAAGGTCATCGGAAGGGATATAGCATCGTGAGTCCAGGGTCATGTGCAAACAAAACCGGTTTTAGCATGGCGGAAGTGGACCGCCGGCTCACCACCCGAAAAACCACCAAGCGGAGACCTTTTTCTCCTGCCTCACAGCGGGCTTTAGGATCTCGCACAGCCTCCCGCAAATTCAGCCCATCTGCGAGAGAGGTCTGGTTGCACAATGACACCAGTGTCGTCGAGCTTACAGGCGAAACACAGAAGCGAATAAAACTAATCGGGACTGAAAACTAACAGCTTGGTGCGAGAAACCGAATGCAGTAACGCCACTATCTGCGAGACGGCGTCATGTCCAATGCGGTCTCCAGTCACTCGTGTGGTCTATCCCTAGGCCAACACACCAAAGGCACGCAGCAGTCAATAGAAATAGAGATCAGCGCATACTAAACCGTGAAACCAAGAATTTACTTGTTAGGTTGCAATATTTGGGAATGAAAACCAGCAACGAAAAGACAGAAAACATCTATATAATAATAGTTAACAGTATATGCGGACACATGGCGACATTTATTTCAATAAACGCTATTTGCCTGTGAGTGATCAAAAACGCACTAATGAGACGCCTGGCCGTTTATCTGTAAGGACAGGGAAGGCACGAGAAGTAAAAAACCATAATGCGATAAATAGGATGGAAGCTGGCTCTTACAAGTAGGTATTTCTACAGGAACCAGCTGCTCTGTGCGTTGCGGGATGGGTCTACGGTACTGCTCATACGCAGAAGAAACGGAGTTAGGGTCATCAAGGAAAAGGCTGACAGCAGCGTCCAAATTTTCGTTACAGGCGTTTAAAAAGGAAAGTGCTGTTTGCTCATCAGCACCTAAATAACGAGAGTCATACAAAAATGCAGTTACCCGTAACTTGGCAGAAAGACTCGATCAAATTAGTAGGCATGGAAGGAGTTGGTTTAAAATTAACCCATCCGCACAGGGTTTTCAATCCGAAAAGTCAAGCAGGAACAGATTGATTTGTGCAAACAATCACTGAGAGGCCCACCGCGACCTACACACCGCTCTACCGTGAAAACCGAGAGTGCTAAAACCGGAGACAACTAAGGGACCGGAGAATTCGCGGGCGTATAGAATCAGGAATACGGGCGGGTTGGGATGTTGGGTAGAACCTACATGAGACACTATGGTTAGAAACTTATTATCCTGCATTAGAAACACAGAGTACAAGTGGTTGTAATAATGTATGTGATTATGGATAAGGAGTTAAGGCAAGGATTAAGGTTATACTTGCTCAATCACCCGATCGGTTCCTCACTCGCGTAGGTCGGGTCAGGACAGATTCCAAGGACGATACAGTCTTCTGCCTAACGAGCGTCCTGTTTCTTTCACCGGTAAGTGAGCCAGAGCCCCCAGTAGTTCGACGGCTAACTAACTTTTGCGACTTCTGCAGGAGATGTAAGTAAAACTAAAGCATTCGCTGTACTGTCATACAGTACAAGGTTACCGCAAAATGATGGAATAAAGATACCAAAGTGCTGGAAAATGTTCAAGTTCAAGTTAAGTTCAGTTGGGACCGGAACGATAGGATAATCCCGTGAATGTTCCTTTTTTTGCGTATCGTTGTATCGGGAATTGACAGGTCTGCTTGAGATGTTGAAAAGCCTAAAACAAAGACCTCATCACACCCTGCCCAAAAAATTACTGCCCATATTTTCCTGCCCAGCAGCCCCTGCCAGACCGGTTTATGTGAAGTAAAAGAGTGACGGGTAAGCTAAGAAAACAAGAGGAGGAATGTAAGCTAAATAATGATAGTACCAAGCTGAGAAGAAAATTAAAAATGAACGAAGGGAGAGTTGAAGATACAAGTCGGTTAGGAGAAGGGGAAGGTTTGGTACTGCCACCCTAGAGCATCTAACTGACGCTCGAAACCCTCTACCGTAGACTCCCTAACCACGTGCGCCGGAAGCGAGTTCCAACGTTCAATAACTCGACGCGACTAGGGAGTTTCCGTCCTTCACGGTCAGAACGCTGCTTGTGCAGCTTCAACGGGTGACCTCGGAGACTAGGCAGCTTGGCGGGACTAAATAGCCAGGACAAGTCTGGACCGATCTTACGCGTTAAGATACGGTAAGTAAGAATCAAGTCTCCTCTAGTTCTGCGGTAGTGCATTGAGTACATACCCAAGCTAAGCAAACGTTCGGGATACGTTTGCCCCCGTAATCCTTGCACTAACCTTGTACCCACTGGCAAAACCCTCGCCAGTTCCATTTTGTCCCTTACAAGGCAAGGTGGACAAGCCTGGATACAGTACTCTAAGTGAGGTCGCACGAAAGCTGAGAACAGCTTCACAAAGATATTGGCCGTTAGGACACCGAAAGAGCGGCGAATAAACTACATCATAGGGAACCCTTTACAAGCAGCCTTCCTCCAATTTTCCCCAGAGTGAAGCAATGTGGTATGGGTGCTACCATGCATGCTTCCGTTAATGGTCTCTACGGTGCTGCATTCTGTTAATGCTGGAAGCAGCCTATTCCAGCTACTGACTACAGGAGTCAAAGAATTTCACCTCTCTAAATCCAGTCTAGATCTTTGCTTCTTGAGTTTCAGTTGGAGTCCAAGTAGTTGAACTGACCCGGCTAGCTCAAATAGTTCAGTATACTGGATAGCTTTTACGCTCAAGTTCAGGTGGGACTGTCTGGATATGATGAATTCCGTAAGCGTTCCTTCTTTAGCGGGTCGTTGCTTCAAGTTCAAGTTCAAGCGGGACTGGAACGATAGGATAGATCCCGTGAGTGTTCCTTCTTCGGCAGGGCGTTGAACCAGGAGTTGGCGAACTTTGAAATACTGATAGACCTAAAGCAAAGACCTCATCACACCCTGTCCAACCAATTAATGCCCACCTATCCTGCCCTAGCAGTCCCTGTTGGGTCGGTTACGTGAAGTAAGAAAGAGAAAAAAGTAAACTCCAAATGCAAAGGAGAAAGTGGAGAGAGCTAAGCAAGTGGAATACCAAGATATTTGAGTCAATAAAAAAAGAACTGAAAAGTGAAGGTGAGTCAGCTAGGAAAAAGGAAAGGTTTGCTGTTGCCACCCAAGAGCATCGAGCTGGCGCGCAAAACCCTTAACCGTAGGTTCCCTAACCCCGTGGCCTGGAAGCGAATTCCAGCGACCTATAACTCGACGCGATAGACGAGTTTCCGTCCTAATCCTATCAGATCGTGGTTTATGCAGTTTCAGTTGGTGACCGCGGAGACTATAAATAAATAAATAAATGGTTTATTCTCGTCACGGCGAGGCACACAATCAAGGGCATGATCATGGTATTACAGACATGTATGATCAGCAATTGCACAAATTGGTACATTTTGACCAACAGCATGAGAATTTATGTGTGTGTTGAGATGTAAAACTGTTTAACTGTGTATTTGGAAGGGGACATGTGTGAGTAAGTAAAGGTGACTGTGTGTGCCTTTGTTCGTTGTGTTCGCTATCAAAGGGGCTATCACTGGAACGCTTTGAATCAGATGACGTCCGTGATGTGTGAATGATACTCCGGAAAAGGGAAGAGGCAGTGACTTTATTTAGTGGCGAGTCACATCCGCCACGTCACAGTGTTGTTAAACGGATACTTGTGGCTGTTTATAGGGAGAACGCTTGCCAGGCGAAATCCCACCACATCCTGTAACACTGCCGCCGAACCATTTGCTGGAACGGGATTTACCCGAACCACCCAGCTGGCACTACGAGGAGGTTGTTCGGCTAGCCAGCGGGACTAAAAAGCCCTGACAAGTCCGGGCTAACCTTACCCGTCAAAATACGATAAGTGAGAATCAGGTCCCCTCTTATCCTTCGGTAGTGCATGGAGTACATACCCAAACTGAGCAAGCGTTCAGGATACGTCTGTCTCCGTAGACCCTGCACTAACCGAGTACCCACTCGTAACACCCTCTCCAAGTCCATTTTGTCTCGGTTAAGACATGGTGGACAAGCCTGAATACAATATTCCAGGTAGGGTCAGACGAATGCCGAAAATAGCTTCACAAACAACCTGGCCGTTAAGATTCCGAAGGAGCGGCGGATAAACCACATCATACGAAACCCTCGACAAGCAGCCTTTTTCCAGTTGTCTCCAGAATGAAGTGCTGATGCGTGTACGACTCCTTAATCAACATGCTGAGTGACAACAGGGAGTTCACCACCGCCGACAACATATCGGGTGGGAGGATTAGCAGCTCCGATTCGGAGAACAGAGCACTTGGCCCTATTTATGGGCATCAACCATAAAGTAGACCATTCCCAGAGCCTATCCAAGGCACGCTGATTTGCCTCAGGACCCCCCGGGATATCCACAATATTCCAGAACTTAAGGTCGTCAGCAAACATTAGTGTTGACACCCCTAGCTCTCCCGGCAACTCATTTACATAGATCGCGAACAACAATGGCCCCAATACCGAGACCTGCGGAACGCCACTAAGGACAGCTTGCCTAAGCGAAAGGCTACGCCCCACCTGTACGCACTGTTCCCTCCCCTCAAGGAAGGCACACACCCATTGAAGGGCGCGACCAGATATCCCCTAAGATCTCAACTTTAGTGAGAGCCGAATATGTGGAACAGTGTCAAAAGCTTTCGAAAAATCTACGAATAGCACGTCTACAGCGCAGACACTGTCTACCGCTTCGGCCCAGCTTTCACGAGCTACAAGTAGATTAGTCTGACATGAAAATCCTTTGCGGAATCCATGTTGCGCATCACTGATAAGGTGGAATTTAGTCAGGTGGTTCTCCACTGAATCCCTTATCAGCTTCTCGAACAACTTGCCTACTACGCTCGTCAAACTGATAGGCCGGTAGTTTGCGGGTAGAGCGCTGTCACCACCCTTAAAAATCGGACAGATGATTGCCTCCTTCCATTCCGAAGGTAGGCTGCAGCTGTCCAGCGATATTGAAAATACGCACGTGAGCGGACCACTCAGCTCAGTGGCCAGTTCATGCAACAGCTTCGGATGAATTGAATCAGGACCGGAAGCTTTAGAGGGATTAATGCCTTGCAGTAGCTCGAAGACCTGAGTCTCCGTTGTGCTAAATTCAGCTAAGTAAGAATCCTCTGGAACATTTGAAACCAATTCAACAAGTGGTAAAGAGGTCTCCCGAGCAAAGACCCCAGTATACTGATCACTCAGTATACAAGCCTTGTCATAGTCAGTTTGCACACGGGTCCCGTCTGCTCGCAATAAAGCTGGTACAGACAGTTTTGCCCCGCTGCGTCTTTTAACGTAAGCAAAAACTTCTTAGGATTAGTTGCGGCCGAGTCCGCTAAACCCTGCTCGTATTGGAGACGAGCAGTTCTGAGGTGTTTCTTACATTTATTTCTATTCTCTCGATAACTATCATAGGTACTGGCTGATGGAGCTGCTTAATAGGTTCGCCAGCATCTAGACCGTTTCTTGAGTAGTTACTTGCCTTTGGTATCTATCCATGGAGGCTGTGCCCTTAACCCTCTTTTCCTAATGAGTGGAATATAGGGAGTGGAAACTTCCGTAAGGTATGCCTTAAATTTATCCCAGGCTAAATGGACAGAGTCAGCCATCGAGATCTCACAGTTCAGAACTGAAGCCTTAGTTCGCATTGCACTAAAGTCCGTCCGCCAAATATTCGGAAGTAATTCAACAGCGGTCTCTTGGTGCCTTGAGAGAGCACATCGAAAGGATATGCATGCGTGATCGCTGGACCCTAGAGGTGCACCGCATGAAACGTCAGTCACAAAGTCCAGGGACTCAGCGAAAACCGTGGCGCGTCGTTGATCCAGGGTATTATTCGTCCGCTATGATTGGAATCCAGAAGAGTCAGATCAGCGCGCGCGAACTACACCACGGTCAACCAATTAATACCCATGCGACTTGCATTGGCAGTCCCCGCCTCTCCAGTCACGTGAAATAAGCAAGTGAAGTACGAAAGTAATAAGAGCGTCAAGAAAAAACGTCATAGATTTAATAATGCAATAAGACAAATAAGCTAGGACGTGAAGGGGAATGTTAAGAATTGAAGGCCAAGCGCGTCGAGTCGGGGTTCGAACTCTTTCACGGTTGGTGCCAATACCACGTTCTCGGGCAATGCATCCTAGGAATCCACTACTCGGCGTGAT